AGAGCATAACTGAGTGAATATATGTTTTTCCTTTAGATTTCTAATCCTAATATAAAGACTCTGGTATCGTAGTGCCTAAGGTGTTTGACTGCTAATCAGAAGGCTGGCAGTCCAAACCCACCAGCCACTCCTCAGAAGGAAGGTTGAGCAATCTACTTCCGTAGTGATACTGCCTCAGAAATGCCCCCAAGGAGGGGTTGCTATGAGTCAGGTCTGACTTGACGGTATATAACAATATAAAGACTCTTCTAAAAGTTATTTAGCTTACTGTTAATCCTCTTAGATCAAATTCTTTATACCTGCATAAAAATTTAGTTACACCGTTTCAAGCAGTGGATAAGATCATCTTTGAATGATCTAGGGCTGGTTGATAATCTTTCAATTGCTTGGCTCAATCCTTCATAATTCAAATTAAGGCTGATATCTATAAGCAATAAATATATGAATCCATATATTCACAGTCTCTGTATATCAAGGTATATTTGTGCATATGGTATTGCAAAAGCCTATCTGTGGGCAGATGTGTATAGCATATGAACAAACAATCTCTAATTCACTTATTTAATTTCACTGAGATCAGTGAAACCCTATGCCCACATTGTAACAGAGGTGATTTATGTTTAATTCATTGATTGCAAGATAGGTTTAAACTGTGGAATGTGTTACTGAAAGGATATGGACACACTGCTGTGTTGGTGATCTTTCAAAAAGACCACATATACTTGAAGGCTAAGCATCTATTTGTGAAGATTCAATGAATGCCTCTCCAGAGTGAGTAGAGTAAAATAGATGACCCTTGGAAGTTCTTAGATTTGATATAAAAACAATGAAGAGCAAAATGTAAATAACAAGCAACAGGTATAAACCTTGTTTCAAATTACAAACCACTTTTCCAAAACATAATCTCATTTTATATTTGTAGCAATTCTTTAAGGGGATGGTAGTATTCTTTTCTTTGAGAGAGATTGAACGATTCAGCCATAATTTTCCTGAACAGGAATCAATCACACTGGGGAAAATAATAATATCAATTCCTTGAAGAATTGTCAGAAATATTATATATTTAAAATGTTTTTGTAGTTTGAAAAGACAAATAAATGTAGATAACCTAAGCAACTGACTGACCTAAGAATTGAATCTAAATATTCAGCTCTGAATACTTTTTTTTTTAAGTTTATTGTCATTTAGGAGAAAGTTTGTAGATCAAATTCATTTTCCATATAGCAATTCATGCACATTTTGTCTCGTGACATTGACTGCAATTCCCCACAATGTAACAGGTCTCTTTCCACGTCCTCCCTGTAGTTACCTCTTCCCTGTGTCCTTCCTTCCCATGCTCTCCCACCCCCTGAGCTGTCTCACTGTGCAAACACTGCCCTTCTGTTCCCCCATGATTGATCATTCCAAGGAGTGTATCTACCTGATGTAAATGTTCACTCTATATGCCTATTGTTTGGGTGGAAGCCACAGGAGTCAATTCAGTTCTGGACCTGAAGGGTAATTAGGAGCCATAGTCACAGAGGTCTCACCAGGCTCTATCAGACCAGCAAACCTCTTTTTTTTTTTTTAATGCTTTTGTATTTTGTTCCACATTGTTCTCCCCCTCTATCCAGGATCTCCTGCACCGATCCCCCTCTGAATGGTTGACAGTGATAGTTGGGCACAATCTAGTTCTACTGGTCTCATAATCATATAGGCTGAGAATCACCTGGTCTACTAGTCCCTTGAACTAATTGTTTCCATGCATCTTTGCTTTTCTATATTCTTCTTTGCTCTAGACGAGAAGAAACCATCATTGTATCTAGATAGCTGCTTGCAAGCTTTTAAGATCCAGTCATTACTCACCAATGTAGGATGTGGAACAATGTTTTTGTGTAGTATGTTATGCCAACTGCAACTCCGCATACTTTTATATTTCACTCATAAAACACAAAATCTGAAAGTGATATTTTACTATTATTTTGGAAGTTAAGCCATAATAGATTATTTAAAATCTGCTTCTGGGGAGAACAAGTTTAATTAATTTTACTTCTAATAATTGAAATGTGTTGTCATTTTTCCCCATTGTAGTTAGTGTGCATTTACGATTAACAGTTTTTTTATTTTTTTAAACCTGTACAGCAATTTTCCCTCCCCTCCCTTCCCGTCCCTAGTAACCAACAAAGAAAATTTCCTTCCGTATATAAACCTTTACTTGACTTTTTACAATAGTGGATTTATGCGATATTTGTCCTTCTGTGATTGACTTATTTCATTCAGCATTATGTCCTCCAAGTTCATCCAGTGTTTTGAGATAATTTACAGTGCCATGGACTCCATCTCTCTTAAATATGCTTTTATTCTGTTCATATTTGGTACAGAATAAATGCTCAATAAATATTTGTTTTTTTAAATAAAATCATGATTAATGAATGAATGAAGTGGAGACTCTCATTAACTGTAGATTAAATATTAGTTGAATTGCAAATCTGCTTCAGTGAATGGTCAAAACTTCTCATAATCATTATTTGAATGCAAAGGACATTTTTACTAACATTCTTAACATAGTTGTCTTAAATAGGTTGAGCCTGTACCTAAAATAGAAATTTGTTATTATTTTTTAAAGTCATTTGTGTAAAGAAAAATTCAATGTAAAATGTATCACATTGATAATAATACATTTAACAATTTCTATGGATTCAATCATTGTTTGCTACCTAGAACATAGGATTTTTATTTGGATTTGTTTCATAGGTTGGCCTACTAAACTTAATCTATTTTAATTTCCCCATATTACAAATATAAGATGCTCTTTCCATGGTTGCTATCTGTGTGTACTTGGTTGCACTAGAGAAGATGTCATACCTACTTGGAAATCTCAGTTCATTTTCTTTCAGTTACGAAGAGGATGGCAGAGTTTGGGTTTGTCCTCCCACCACCTCCTTGACTTTCAGCTCCACTGAGGTTGATGGGCTACAATAAACAACCCACAGTTTGACCTTTTGTATCTGTATTATCAAATCAGACAGATGGTATAGTTTGTGGTTAAAGGATAAAGGACAACATTTTCTGTTTTTGAAGCTAATATTACCACAACTAATCCACTGATGCATACTGACATAGTTAGCAGGAAGTTCATTAAACTTCTGGTGTGTTTTAGAAAAATCAATCCATATACTTGGTTGCAGTGATTATATGATTAAAATCGTTTAATCCATTGATTTAAGTTAACCATTTTCCGTGAGTGCCTAACATCATGATTTTAGGGTTATGACTTCTTTTGGGAACTGAGATAATTCAAAAGGAATTGAGTAAAGAGAGAAAATATTTAACAAATAACAATAAAGTAATAAATAAAGAAAAATAAGTTACATTATACTGAAAAACAATACCATGTTTATTGACATTTCTGAAGAAAACCTGAAAACGTGTTTTTGGCTGAGCTGCATGGAACTGCATGATCATTTTAATGCTGTAGTAAAGTATTTTCTTCTGGCAGCTTATCTATGCACAAGAGTCCTTTTTGAAGAGGTGGGAAATTAAATAATTTTTTTAAAATTACATGATCCTATGAGTTACCTGGGAGCTCTGGTAGCATAGTGGCTAAGGCATTTGACCGCTAACCAGAAGGCTGGTG